GTTAATTAAAAAATGTAATAGTTGAGGTATTACTCGAAAAATGCCAGCAACTTAGCTATTATTCAATCTCGCAATTTCCCCCACACATATTTTGTCCCAGACGACTTCAGGAATATACCGACTCTTTTCCAGTCATCTAACAATGCTAAATGAGTTCACACTAAGAGTGCTTCACCATGTGCAGCACGCGGTACGCAATGGGTTAAACAAAAACAACCAGGATAAACAATCTCAGAAAACTCGAGCAGCCTAAGCGCCCAAATGGGGAAGAAGAAAGAAAAGGGCGGAGCCTTGCACGGCCAGTCTGGCGTTCAGGCTGCCTGGTTTTTCTGCGAAATGAAAGGAATTCGGTGATTCTCGCAAGCTTTTTCATCAGCGTATCAAAATTCCGAAAAAAGGTGGTCATAATCCAGCAACAACTGTTTCCCAGCGCTATAACTCCATTTCCGCAAGTTCCAGCCCTTTGCTTTGTTTTTACCTATCAAAGACTTATTTCGTGTTTTCCTCATATTTTACCAGTCGCCTCGCCGGCTGACGCGCTATTTTAAAGATTCTTCGTCTGGCTCCGCCCACCTTGAAACAGGCTATTTGTATATTTGTGCCCCACAATTCTCACCCAATATTTGTGCCCCACAATCTCACCGACGACCCTCTGCTGACCTTAATCCACTTTTTTCCGGTCTTCGGAGTGCTCTGGGAGCCGTTTTGCAGATCTTTTGTCTGACTCCGCCCACCTTCGGAGCAGGCCCGCCTTAATTTTTGTGCCCCACAGTCCTCACCGGCGACCTCTCTGCTGACCCTATCCACGGTTTTTCAGGTCTTTGAAGTGCTCTGGGACAGTTAGAGAATTTTCGCCTGGCTCCGCCCACCTCGGGCTGGCCCCGCCCACAATATGTATACCCCACATTTCTCAATCGGCAACCCTCTGCTGACCTTAATCCACTTTTTCCCAGTCGTCTGGAGTTGCTCCTGAATACTATTTTACAGGCTTTTTCGTCATGACTCCGCCCAAATTCGGGCAGGCCCGCCAACAAATGTTTTGGCGCCCCAGAAGTCCTCTACCGTGCAAACCTTTGCCCCCGACGGCTGACGCTACGTTTTTCCGGTCTTGTGCAAGTGCTCTGGAACAGAGCTAGAATATTTTTAGAAATGAGTATCTGCGGTTTAGGGCAGACATCGCCCACTGTGGGCGGATCTCAACACATTTTGAGCGTGCCCAATACTCGCCAGATATTTACATTCTGCACTGAGCCTTTTGCGCCTTCTGAACACTCTCGCGAACCGAGTTACTGTGTTTTATGCGAAGGCAAGAGCCACCTTGAGTACGACCCGCCCATTTTGATGCGTCTGCCGCAGTTAGTCTGGCGGCTCCTTACTAACCTTATTCCCTTTTTTCCCCATCTTAGGCTGCTCCGGAAGCGAATGAACATTTTTCTGCGGAACCCCAAACTTTCGGCGAGTGCCCCGCCCACTGTGGGCGGGGCTTCCCATAGGTCAAGTGTGCTTTTTATTTCTTGTCCCATGCCCTACCTATCCCCACCTTGACTGGACCTCTCCAAGTCGTTCTTCAGGTCGAACCGAATTTCCGGACAGAACTGCACAAACAAACAAAACAAACAAACAACAAAGACACAAACAAACAAACAAACAAACGAAACGCTTTATATATATAGGGTGATTGCTCTATGGCGCTGCAGCTGTAGAGAGCCTCCTACCTTGCAGTAAGCTCTACCAATCAACACAGACACATTCACTATTTCAAACATGATTTCAGTAACTTACTCATTCAAAGTTGTTTCATCGAATTCCGCTGAGCACCCTATTTCCACTGAGATATGCCTTCCTGTGGCTAGAAATACCTGAAAAAGAGAAAACAGAAGCCAAACAGAATGACTGCAATTTCGCAAATAGTTACTTAAAAAGTAAGAAACCGCGGGAAAGACAGTTGCAAAACAGATTCAGAAAGCAAAAAGCGACAGCTAGTACACCGAACAAAGGGTTCTAAGATAGTTGCGGAAGCTACACGGCTGAGCTGGGCCACGCCCTCTCTGTTCGTGTGCGCTCTCCTCCAATGCTAAGCCGATGGGGGAGGGGGACTCGGTGGCCATGTCTCGATGAGAGAGCGCAGACGAGCATAAAGCATTGCTGAATCACACCTGAGTAAAGCCGTATTCATAGTTTGCGACTGGAAACGGTCGGCGATTTGAAAGATTGCGCGACGAGGAAAGCATATTTATCACTCTGGCGACTGCGAAGATTGAGCGATCTCGCGATTCGGCGTTTCCGGCGATTGCGCGTCAAAATAGTGGATGGGTATCGATCAGCGCCAGTCGCTAGGAACTGCGGAGACTAGGCGATCTGACAATCTCCCGAAACGTCGCATCGCTTAATCTCTGCAATCATTAACGATCGGCGCTGATACCCAACCATTTTTTGGCGCGCAATCGACGAAACGCCGAGTTTCCAAAATCGCCCGATTGCTAAATCACCGCGATCGCCAAATCGATACCTATGCTTTCGCCATCGCACAATCTCTAGTATAGTCGGATCTCCTTAATCGCGAAGTATGAATATGGTCTAACTCCCTCCCCCTCCCCCACTAACTTTTGCCCGAAGAATATGTGGCGAACAAAAATCCCACTTGAAGAAACTTCAAGGACATCATAGATATTGAAAACAAACTAATTTTGAACTAACTTCTTCCACTAATTTTGCCAAGAAATCATTGACCATTTCGTTGGAATACACGATTTGCAAGCACCATTCAGCATCTTTTGTTGGATTTCGAACAACAATCACTAGTATACGTTCATCCTCTGAATATAAGGCCCTTCGAGCTTATAGGCATAATAAATTCTGCCTAACTGAAAAGGGTAAGCCTAAGCATTCATGAAATCTTACCTGAATTCAAAATTATTCTTACAGCTCGAATTCTGACCAGATCGCAGTACTCTATGAACTTCAGAGTTTTCGCCGGTTGTCCGCGTAAGAAGGCACCACAGGACATATTTCGACCCAATTTCTCAGTCATCTTAATGTGTACATGAATTTTCATGAATAAGTATTAATGCTAGGTCAAAGACGCGATGAGGTAGCGAAGCAGAGGGTGCCTTGTGCCAGAGACACCCTTTGCCCATAGCCCGTCTAGAGTAAAAGAAGAGCCTAGCATTACTATTTTAAGATAAAAGAAGAGCATTAGAACAAGAGCATTAACGATCATACCAGAACACAATCCTTGAAAAGTAGCAGCTCGACAACAAAACAATTCCAGATGTTATCTCCATTTGGTATTGAGAGAAATTCCAATCCACAGATGAACTGATGAGGTGATTTTAGAATGTGGCCCTGAACAAGAACCATCACTTCTTCACTTCTGGAGCAAATTTCTCAAAAAAGACTTTGGCCTTAGGATGCTACGTATGTGATTACGGTGTCGGGTAACCCATTCCACTTCCCCATTGACAAATTCCGGATAGAATATTCTCCAAGTTCTCTCCTTTTGTAACCTCGGCATCGTTGTTTATTCTGTTCAATTTGCTTTCGGCAGTTTTTTTTTTGAAAATTTGAAGAGTGAAGTTAGCTTGAACAGTGCCGCTATTAAATTAAACTTCAACTACTAATGAGAGAGCATACCGGCAAATCCTGCATTTTCTTGAAAATCGCTTCACTTTCAGCTCCCAACCTCTTGCTCTCATTGATGTTCCTTGAAAAACAATAATTTTTTCACAGATAATACCTTCGAAGTTGTCGATCTAATTAAAATTACTTTTCGCCACATCCGCGTCAATCACCGAAAACGGCCATCTCCAACGATTCATAATTCAGCGGCAAGCGTAGTCGTGTTATTAGCGAATTTCTAAAAAAATACTTTTCCAAAAGAAGCTGACAGGTCTGCGGGCTGGGTAAAAGCATTTTGGGATGGGAAAAAGCCAAGTTAATGTTAGACTACGTCTAATATCTAAGCTCACTAATATCTACATTTCACACATACGACAAAAATCACTTAATCCATCACGCTGCCGACGGATGTAGGTGAACGACCTAAAGAAATTTAGTCTGACTGACACTGCACAAACATAAACTGTTAAAACGGTTGGCTGAACGACTAGAAGGTCATATATCACCGTTAGAATTATCGCGGCGCTGTTCGGCAATGGAGGGACATTTCCCACTTTTGTTATTTCATGTTAACTAACACATCCACTTTATTCAACCTGCTAACTCCTACGATGCTGCACATCGTTCTAGTGAGCCACTTTGGTCGCAGACCCACAGGTCTTCCCATGTGGCCTGTACAAGCGTGCATATTGGGGCCTAGGCCCGACACCTGCGCCAAATAGATGGGTTTGTACCACCTGAGACACTTTGACCACTGCCCAGATTATAAAATTGGTGGGGACTTATTGCTTTCTGCCCCAACATCCCAGAAATAGAAGCATTTTTTGTGACCGACGTTTTTCTCACGGACAGATAGATGCTCAAAGTTGCATCCTGAGAGTGTTTTTGACCTCCTGAATACGAATTAAACATTCGCTCAGCACGAAACTCCCTAGCACCCAAGCCACAGGCGCCGGTGATTTGGGATTTTGGCACCAGCGCTGTAGCGCGAGAGCCAGGAGGTTTCATGCCAAGCAGATATGATATTCGTTTTCAGGAGGTCAGACTACCCCTGAAAACAAGTTTTCAGCGAATTTGGTGATTCAAGGTATTTTGGCGCCGGCGCCCGTGGCGCGGGCGCCAGGAGGTTTCGTGCCTAGCGGATGTGATATTCATGTTCAGGAGGTCAAACTACCCCAGAGACAAATTTTCAGCCAATTCTGCCAACGCAGAAAAAAGTCGGTCAAAAACTGGCCTGTTTTCGGAAGATTGGGGCAGTAAAGGGTAAATAGTGCCGAATTGGGAACAGTTCGGCTTGGAGGGGGGCAACGAGTGGTACTCAGCTGGGGTTGTATGGACGTTGTATGGACCTATCTTGTGAGGACCTCTACAATCCTCTGACCAGAGCACTTCATTCAAAAGAGATTCGCACTTCACAGGAGTTTACAGGTCGAACCAGGGCAAGATCTCCCAATTAACATGAGCTGACAAAAAAAGAATTAGCAAATGTATAAAATGCCCCCCTCCTAGACGAATGTCGCCTAAATTTTAATAATTTGCGTCGAAAATAAGATATAACTCATAAGATAACTAGATGAACGTGACACAGTCGCTTGGTCGCTTGGCAGTCCGGTATCTCCATGAACACGCCCTCCACAGGCACGGCTGTTTAAAACACTCTGCAGGGATCCCGACAATTTCCTAAGCCGCCTGCGCTCTCAAATGCATACCCACCGCCAATATCGTACAAAGTGAGTTACAAATAATTATTATATAAATGATAAAAACAAATTTCAGTAATTCACAAGTCAGTAGTGCTGAGATATCGAGCAAGACTGAGGTCATATTCTGCGACTCAAAGCACGCGACAACCAGCGCGAGGTATGAACGTCCAATAGTCGAAACTATGGCACAACTCAGAAAGGGGATTTTTGCCGATAATTTTCCTATATTCCCTTCAAAAAGATACATTTTACTAGCCAAACCTTTTAATGAAACTGGAATCCTGCTCGTTATCTGTTGGAATGGTACGTTCAGCAGGTATTCCACTTTCTGATTTCCCAGCGATCTATCACGTTCCTTATCCTAAAAAGGTACTACATAGAAGTCACAGTCTGAAAAAACTTAGCAGATTTGCTGAATTTAAAAAAAATTAGCTAGCAAAGATGATTCCCTGAGCTTCATTGTGTTGTGAATAAAAAATACGCACGTGACAGAAAGGGCGTGGTCGTCTGAGGTCTATTGGGGGGGGGGTAGTGGGAATGCAAAAAAAATTGCTTCTGTATATGAGAACAATGAATGGTGGATGGCTCCGTCTCCAACTATTCTGAATTCCGAGCGCTTCAGCTTTTAGAAGAAATCAAGCATTTGAAAATGAGCTAAGGCAGTTGGCAGGGAATGGAGACGGACAAGACCATCGTAAGTCTGCCGCGTCGTCGCGTGCGGCGAATCGTGCGGCAATGGTCGGCAAATTCTCGATGACCATCTGCTGTTTGGGAATAGCGCAACACATGTGAATTCAAGCGCACAAGACTTGAATGACACATATTCCCAGCCCCCCCCCCCTTAGATCAATCCATATCCATCAGATAGGGAAGGCGTGGTCGCTTACCTCACCCGAAATAGAAGGTGGTACCGTTTTCTTGTGATATTTTTACTTGAGACAGCTGTTATCCTGTCTTCTGCTGGACAAAGATGTTCTCAAATGGAAACATCTCATCAAAACCGCAGCCGCAGCTGTTTGAAGGAAGCGCGCTGCCACGCCCTGCCCATCACCGGGCGTGCAAATTTAGCCAGGACAACTCGCCTCGCATGTGCGCGGCGTCGCTCGCCATCAACGCACGCGTGGCACATTGCTTTACCACATACCAAGGGGGAGGGTGACGCGTGGCGCGACGTGTGCGCCCTCTTAACGAGAACCCAACTCGTTTCCCCAAGCTGACTCCTTGCCGCCTAGGACTAGCGCTAAGGAGCTCCAAACAATCAGAATCTTCCCGGCGTTGTCTCGCCGCGTGCCCCCCCCCCTTCCATGACTTCGGAATGACTGATTAAGCAATAATCTATTGAATACTATCGAAATGTACTGACCACTATAAATGAGTTGAACTTTGTATTCTTCTTCCGATTCTCTTTCAAATACTGCAGCGAAGTTTCTAGCGCATGGAAATACGGTGTGTAGGCTGCTACGAGTAATGGAGATTCTTCAACGATAATCTGAAAACTCATAGACATTAAGCCGGTCGTATTGTCCAAAGCGCAAAGAGAGGTAGGTATGCACATTTTCGGGAGGTCAGGAAATCTACGCTGCGGCAGCTTGAAGAGCAAACTATTGGTTCCAAGCTGTTCGCTATACTGCAACACTTCCACGTCAACTCAATAATTGTGAACGCGAAGCAGAAGAATGGGTCTCCTGACCCCCCCCCCCTTTTCGTAAATCTGAACCCAAATGTAGGGAGGTCTATTAAGAAAAAGGAAAATAAACTCACGTCTCCAACAGTACTGTGATCGTTCCATGTATCAAGCACCTGACCCATTCTCTGCACAATTTTATCGTGAGCTTTACGCATCGAACTGTACACGCCAAACATAATATCGTTTGCCTCCGCTGACACATACGTGTTCTCTTCGAAAAGCTGAAATCAGAAAGAATTCCGTATGAACAAGCACGGTGTCCGGTGTCCGCATTACGAGGTGGTGATGCAAGTGGTTCACAGCATTTCGGAAAATAAAAAGGGGCGTTCCCAAGTACGCAGAATGACGGTTGCGAGCGCGCAGACCGAAGGAAGGAAGAGAGGAATACAAAAAGGAGCTCTACGGGACAACTTAAACTGAATTCCTTTAGTCGCGCTGACTTTCTGTTTTTCTCTGCGTTCTCACGTCTACATGATGTTGATTGACCACAGTGACCTTGGACATTCGAGGTTTTACGCCCGATAGGAGGCTCACACACTCTGGAGCTCCAGTCCTTGGACAAGCTCACGCCCTGTTTTTTATACCTTTTGATGCCTTGGCAACCGTAATCCTCTATTTCTCTACGCTCTGGCCTTCTGTCCCAGTATCACCGCGATAAGTTCTAGTTGTCACGCAACAAAAAGGGAGTGTTTGCACTTGCCTTGCGCACTTGAAAACGCTCTTTGCACTGGACTGTCTGCAACATCCCACCTAGGCGCGCCATGCTGAGGATTTTTTTTTGCAAAATACGGCTGCATAAGTACTGATTGATTGAAAGCAGTAAAATGCTTCCAGCAAGTGTGACTGCCTCAAATATTCTAACGGCAAGAAGGGCCTTATCTTCACTGTCCAAATACCTGCACTCGTTGTGCCGCGCATCCCACACCAAGGTAAGGAATGTCATATTCCGGAAGCGCGAATTATCAGGCTGCGGCTAATGCCGTTTGGACTCCAGAAATTTCGGCTCCGAGCTCATTTTCAAATTGCCTAAGCACCAAATCCACTAAAAACTTGTATATAGGGGTAATTCAAACATCCTGATTACGAGTATGACACTCATTCTTGGCGCTGGCGCCAAGAGAGGACACTACGATTACCTCCTGGGCTCAGCCTTAGCAGAGCGCAGGTAACCGTAGTGTCATCCATTAGCGCCAGCGCCAAAAATGAATGTCATATTCGTGATCAGGATGTTGAATTACCCCTATATACAAGTTTTTAGCGGATTTGGTGATCTTGCCACTTTTAAAATGAGCTCGGAGCCGAAATTTCTGGAGTCCAAACGGCATCAGCCTCAGGCTGCGTTCACATCTTTCCTTTTTCACTGCGTGTGCAACGCACCGTACTACTACCAATACTGTACATTAAATAGCACAATTCTGCGCTTTAACAGTTTTCAGTGCGGTTGCACACTCCACAAGTTCACGACGCCTAGTCCAGTTGTCTGCTCCCTCCCATGCCCATATTCTACCAGCACTCTGCTACCCTCCTCCCTCCTACTTCCCCTTACTCTCTAGTTTCGATGGCTTGGTTGACGCTGGTGGACGTTGGAGTTCACTTGATCGATATCTATACTTTCCTAGTCGCTGGCGCTGACGGGTTTGAAACGCTGGTGGTCGCTGCTGGACGCTGCCGAATATGAGCACAGCCTCGAGAATTGAAACGGAGGAGGCAAATGTGAAAAATAGCCTTACCCGCACTAGGAAATCTGACACTTTCAAACAGTTAACTTCCGTTTTGAATAGTTCCAAACATAACTGATAACGCTTGTACTTCTTCGCACTTGATTCCGGTCCTCTTCTGGAATAATAGCAAATTTAATGCTAAGAAAACTACTCAAGACTCACAGCAGGAGTTTTGCTGGAAAGAGAAAATTAATAGACGAAAAATGGCCGGATCATCGAAAGCATCCAAGTAAGGCCCCAGTAACGCAAAACAACGTGAAGCATCAGATTTGTATTCATAGCGATAGAAAAGTTTGTCCCCAAATAGGTGAAACAACCTCTAATGTCCCTTCGCCTTATGACGACCGATACACCTTCGTCACTTACTGTCGATTCGCAAAAGTGGGACAACCTCTGAGATTGCGACGGAGTATCTTTACAAGGCAAGAATTCTACCATTCCCATAATGGTGAAATGTGCCTTCAAGTCACAGAAACGAAGCAGGCAAGCTATCAGGCAGGGTCATGCTCGCGACATCGCTGCAACAATATTCAAAAAGTTCTGGTCAGGGTGATTTGTGCAGACACCCCCTCCTTCCCCAGCACCTACCTACCAATTCCCCACATTTTTCAGCTTTTCACCCACAGATGGGGGGAAGGAGGGGATTTAATGCACATGAAATAGGAAAAGCCGCGCTAAAAGTCAACAACTGGGAAAATTTTCTCCAAACGCGGGAAAACAACAATCGATTACGACTCCCTCTATGTCTAGAGTCAAAACCAGGGTATACCATCGTTGTGTTGTTTAAATCAACGATGGTGTACCCTGGTTTTGACTCTAGACAACGTGAAAAGAGATAAATGGGAAAACTACTATTGAAGTTAGTGAATTGAACTCACCTCCTTGATAATTTCAAGAAACTGTTTCTACGTCCTAGTTTAGGCGAAGGCTCTACCCATTTGTGCTCAAAACACTGCTCATTCGCACACCATCCCAAATCCATACTCTCACGGAACCACTAAAGTAGAAATGTAGTTGAAAGAAGTGAACTGCTCGAAATTCTTATTTCGGCGCTAGTGTAGTTTGAAGGGAGAGCGCTACGACAATCAGGCTGCATTCATACTTTGCGCCAGCAAACTTGCAGAATTCCGAGCATAGCCAGCGTTTTCGCGGGTAATATGAGCTTGAGCAAAGCTGCCCGCGGAAACGCTGCAGTACGCTGGGAGTCGCTGGATCGACATTTACACTTTTCTGGTCGGTCGCACTGACACACGCTTGGAACACTGTCGTAGGCTGGCGCGAAGTATGAACACAGCCAAAAACGACCTATGCTCGTCTCCGCTCTTTCTCTCGCCGAGGTAATGATACCATCCTTGTCGATGCTCTGGCTCAAAACAGCGCTGACGAGCAGAGCCGCAGCCGCTCAGCGGATACGCGTGCCCCCTCTAACTATACTAGCGCCACATTTCTGAAGGGAGCTGAAAAGAAAGCAACGATAAGAGTAGTACACCCTTACATCCATTGTGACAAGGTACTTTCCATGGCAAGATGCTGGCGGCCGCACGTCAGGAGCCACAACTACGTGAGTTGCGTCTTTCGTTGTTGTGCTCACGTGGCCACCTACACAAGTAAAACGTTAAATACAATTACAAAACAGTAAAAGGAATCCACAACTTGAGAATTCAAAAAGACAATCATTCAAAAGATTTCATACCATTTGACTCGACGGTATGTAGATGGTCTTCTGCTATTTCATCGTTAAAGCCAAAGAAAGCGATAGTGAGGCCAGCAAAAAGTGGAAGCCTGCACTCAGTCGCCTAAAAAGACAGAAAAACAGTCGAAGGTGTCAGAGCCAGCGGTGCTTAACAACCACTTGTCACATACCACTCTCTCGATTTCTTCTTGTGATTTGACTTGTTGGCAAAGTTCCAGGAAGTCTTGATTCACTATGAACACGCCTAGCGCTACGGCTCTCTGAAATGCGGTAACAACACAATTCAATTAAAAAAACCAAAATACCCATGAAAAAGTAACACAAAAAAGTTGAATAACTTGAAGAAATAAGCAGGAAAATCAGCACGATTTGGCCTAAACAATCCTGGTTCTAAAAGTCATGCTCGATTAGAAGAAT